GGCCCCGGGGGAACACAGGTGGGAACAGGCTCACCGAGGCGCAGGTGCCATGGCTGCCACAGTAGGCTGAGCACTCCTGCAGGCCGCAGTCCGGGCCCCCCCAGCCCGGCTCACAGGCGCACACACCCGGAGGCCGGCACTGCCCGTGGCTCTGGCAGCCGCCCGGGCACAGGGAGAAGCGGAAGGAGGCGTTAAAGCCCAGCAGGTTGTAGTTGGCATCGCTGAAGAGGTGCAGCAGCATCTGTGGCACAAGGTGGGCCGGGCTCTGGGGACTGGACTGGGAGGGTGCCCCACTCCTGCCCCCACCCCATCCTGGGGGACCCAGAACCCACATCCTTTGTCTCTCTCCACCTTCCTCTGTCCCCGTGTTTGTCTCTCTGATGCCCTCTTGCTAGCTCCCTGGCCTTCCCCTTCTTTTTCCTTTTCCTCCATGTACCTATCCCTTTCTCCCCCAGCCCCCACCTAGACCCTCCGGCCATGGCCCCACGGCCCCCGTCTGCACCAACCTTGCCCGAGGAAGCCTCGACAGGCGGAGGCCGGGTGCTCCCGCTCAGACTGGCAAGCAGTGGCCCTTGGGGGGAGTCACCGTCATACACAAACAGGTAGTCGTACGTGCATTCCGTGTCCAGGAAAAGGAAGTCCAGCAGGATCCGGTGCTGGGGGCTCGGGGCTGGGAGGTGAGCATGGGGTGGGAGGCCAGGTCCAAAAGCAGCCCTTCCCCCCACGCCTCCACGCAGCCCACCCGCAAACACCAGACCCTGCTCACAGCGATACGGAGGCTCAAAGATGGGTCAGACCTGGGCCCTGCCTTGGAGGGGCAGCTAGACTCATAGCCCAGGGAGGTCAGAGCTGTGACAGCAGAGGGACAGGAGACCAGAGAAGGAATGACAATATCGGCCCTAGAGAGGTCTCCTGCGATCAGGCTGAACACACGCTTCGGTTCAGATGGGAAAATAACGTGCAGAGAGAGGAAAGCCCATCCCCGTGGTCGCTCAGGACAGCCACCACGATGCTCCTGAGGTCTCGCTCTTCCTGTCTATGCTTAAGCTTCAGACCATGCCCAGGCCGAGGGTCAGGGTGCAGGCCCTGGCAGAGAGGCTGCTCCCAGTGAGCAAGGGGCCTCGTGAGAGCTGTTTCAGGGTTAACAGAGCTCTGAGGGAAGAGTCCTTCTTCTGCCCCCTGAACAAAGGCCTAATCTTGGAGCCTCATAGTTCCCCTCTGTCCCCACCCAGAGCCTCATCTCTCTGTTTATGTGGCTATGGGCACAGACCCTGGAGCCAGACTGCCCAGGCTCAAATTTTGGCTCTGCCACTGAATAGCTACTAGCTGTGTGACCTTGGGCCAATAACCTACCCTCTCTGGATCTGCTTCCTCATCTGTAAAGTGGGGATATAATGGTACTGTAGTAGATTCAAATTGCTAGGCTACTGCTCCCATCGAAAGGTGAGAGCTAATTCCCTGTCCCTTGTGTCTAGGAAGAGTCGCAGTGACTTGCTTGACCAATAAAGACCAGCAGGGAGGAGGGAGGGAGGGTTAAAAAATAAAATAAAATAATAAAGAGCATTTAAGATGATAGTCTAAAAACGCGAGAAAGGGAAAATAAATAAAAATAAAGAGCAGCAGAGGCCGGGTGTGGTGGCTCACGCCTGTAATCCCAACACTTTTGGGAGGCTGAGGTGGGAAGACCACTTGAGACCAGGAGTTCAAGACCAGCCTGGGCAACATAGCTAGACTCTAGCTATGTTTCTGTCTCTACAGAAAAAAAAAAAAAGCAGCAAAAGTGATGCTGTAGGACCTCCAAGGCTAGGTCACAAGAAGCCTTGCAGCTTTCACCTGGGCCTCGTAGAATGCTCCTTCTCAGAACACAGCTGTCAGGCTATGAAAAGCCAAAGCCACACGAACAGGCCACACGTAGGCGTTCCAGCCGACAGTCCAGCTGAGCTGACAGCTGACAGCCAGCATCAACTGCCAGCCCCGGAGGGACCTTCTTGGACATCCAGCCCAGGTGAACACTGAGATAATTGCAGCCCTAGCTGACATCCGACTGTGACCACATGAGAGGTGATAATGCACATAAAGTGCTCACAACAGGGCCTCGCACGCCGTAGTAAGTGCCACTACCCCTAATGCTGTCATTGTTCTTGTTCTCTGCCAGGTCCTGGTTCCAGAAGGTTCTTCTGTATACCACCTCCCATACTATGAGACCACTGCAGGCAGCTCAGGAGAGTCCTCTAGGCTCAGGAAACTAGGAGACCTAGATGCCAGCTCTTCCCCTGACCTGCTGGAGGACCCTA